CCCCCCCCCCCCTGCTTCCACGCCTCTGCGCCCTTCGCTCGGTCGCCCTTTTTTATCCCCCTGCTTCCACGCCCCCTCCCCCACTCGATGCCGATAGCGGCGCTCTTTTCGCCTGATGGGCGCCCCTCCCGTGTGGCCCTCGCCCTGTGGGGCGTGATCCTGTCCAACGCGGCCTTCGTCTTGGCGGCGGTCTTCCTCTTCCTGTGCGCAACACATGCTTCCCCGCCTACTGTTGCCCTTTTCTTGCTCTCCCCCCCCCCTCCCCTCCTCGCGCCATCCAGCGACCTGCCTGGCTCCATCGCTGTCTGACCCCAAGCGCAGACTGTCCCAGCAGACCTTTCGCAAGCTGGGTCCCCGGCGGGCCGACATGCTGGGCGTCCTGGCCTGCGTGGCATTCTGCCTGTCCCCCGGTGGGGCGTTCATGTCTTCAATGTACGTGGCATCTTGTTCTTGTTTCGCCCCCTGCCGTGTGTGTCCTTTTGTAGGCGCCCTCGAAATTGACCATGAGCTCCCGGTGGCCATGTTCCCCTGCGTGCAGGTATACCGAGTCCCTGTTTGGGCTGTGTGTTTTGGCTGGGCTGTGGTGCCGTTCGATCGGCTGGTGCGCCTCCGGATGATCTCCCTCCGTCTGCCTCCGGGAATGTCACTTTCAGACCTCAGCTGATGCGCCCCCCTCCCCTCCCCCCCCCCCCACACACACATATACACGCATACAGGACACTGCCCTGTGGGATGTCCTTCTTCCTGGCCTGCTTGATGCGCTCCAACGGCACGTTGCTTGTGGGCTATCCGTTGTTTGATGCGGTGTCGGCCGTGCGCCATCGCTGGGCCGCTCGCGGGGCCCCCCTCCCAACCACCGCCGTGCGTGCGCCTCCCGCCCTGCGCCACCTGCCTGCGGCCGGTCGCCACCCGATGTGCCCCCATCCTCGTGTCACTGACCTGCTGTGCGCTCAGTCACTGCTGGCGGAGCTGGGCCGCTGTGCCTTTGTCGCGGTGGCCACCCTCACGGGCGCCCTGTTGGTTGCCCTCCACGGCTATCGGGAGTTCTGCACCCCGGAAGCCGTGGCTGGCGCGTCGGCGGCCGGTCTGACACCGCGACCCTGGTGCACCAATACCCTGCCCCTCATCTACGGCTTCATCCAGAAGGAGTACTGGTGCGTATGGGCACACCGGCCGCCCACATGATTCCGCCTCCGGTCCTTCGCCCACCCGTTGGCCGGGCGGCCCCCGTGCGGCCATGCATGCGTGCAACATACTGACCATCTGGGCCATCGAGCCCTCGTCCCCGGGCCCAGGGACGTCGGGCTATTCCGGTACTGGCGGGTGGGACAAATCCCGAACTTCGTGCTGGCCCTGCCGGCCATGCTGCTGGCCGGGTACACGGCCTGGCGTGTGGTGCCGCCGCTTTGGCGCCGGTGGGCGTCGCTCGGCCTCCTGACGGCGGCCAAGGCGCCGGCCGGGGAACCGGGTACGCGCTCCATGTGTGGCCATGCGGGTCTTTGGACGATCGCAGTTGTTCCTCCTTTCCGCCGCGCCTTGTCAGGTCGGCCCCTAACATGCCGGGCTCCGCCCCCCCCCCCCCTCCCCCCCCCTCCCGTCCAGTGGATGTGCCCTTGTTGGCGCGACATGACCTTCAATTTGAGTTGCATCCACATTTGATGTTGTGGTTTGTGGCACACCTGGCCATCCTGCTGTCGGCCCATGTGCAAATCATCCACCGCTTTGCGGCCCCCTTCCCAGCCGCCTATTGGGTGGTGGCGAGCATGCTTCTACCGGGGGAAGACTCGGCCCAGGCCCCCAGCACTCCTGCCCCTGTGGCCGGGGACCCGCACCCCTCCCCGGCCGCGGACCCGACGCCCAAAGACCCGCCGGTCCCCATGCATGGGCCCAGCGCTCGGGATAGCCAAATGGCAAGAGTGTATTTGGCATTCGGCGCCGGGTACCAGGCCGCCACGTGCATTCTCTTTGGGCACTTTTACCCGCCGGCCTGAGCGCGCACGGCAGCAACAGCAGCAGCAGCGGCGGCGGCGGCGGCGGCAACAGCAGCAGCAGCAGCAGCAGCAGCAGCAGTAGAGGCTACCGCGGCGAGTCCTGTGCCGCCGGAGACTCGATGACCGGCGACGAAAGGCCGCTGCTGCCGGGGGTCGACAGGGACCGGAAGTTGAGCCGCTTTGTTGTCGATTCCCACCAAGCACCATGTGTTAGCACCTGGACAGGTGATGGGCTTGTGCAGGCATATACGCGCGCAAACGCGTATAGAGATATGCATTCGCATGTTCCCATGTGTGTGTGTGTGTGTGTGTGTGTGTGTGTGCATCTGAGGGAGGCGGACAGGTGGGTGCACCTCGGTGCGCCAGGGCCGTGGCCCGGACGCCCCGACAGGATACGTACTATGGATGGAGGCCGAATCTCGGGCGCGGGAGTGGCCACACTGCCGCCGGTATGGTCCTGCTAGCAGGAGCGAAGGTGGAGGTCAGCGTGGGGGCGCTGGGCAAGGTGGCGGCGACAGAAGGACAAAAGGAAGTACCTCGGGGATGGGGGCCACCCCGACGGCCGGCGAGGATTGTGGCCCGGAGCTGGCGGCGTCCCCAGTGGGTCCGATGCCGGCAGCCAGCGAGGAAGCGGCGGCCTCGGCCGCGGCAGCCGCTTCGCGCCTCTCCCGCCGCCGGCGCTTTCGGTCCTTGTCTCTCCGGTCCTTGCGCGTCTTCTCTGGAGGCCGGGGGCGCGGGGGGGGGGGGGGGGGGGGGGGGGGGCAGGCAGCAGGTGTGAGCGGGAGGCACAGAGGGAGAGACAGGCGTTTCGGCAGGGCGGCAGGGGAAATCCGGCACGTACGTGGCAACGCCCCGTCCAGGAGGGAGCATGCAGACAGTGAATGTATGCGAGATGCAGAGGGCAGCGAAGAGGGGGAAGAGTCAATGACTGCTGGCGTGTGGCCGGGGGCCGGCAAGTCGCCAGTGCACGCACGAAGGGCCCGATCAGGTACTCCAAGTCCTTGGAGGTCAGCCGCAGCACCCGGCGCTGGCCAGCGGGAGCAGCCGGCACCGGGCCCGGGGCCGAGGATGGCCCGCCCTCGGACGGACCCGGCGGCGCCGGGGCCGGGTACGGGACCCACGGCACCGGGGCAACCATCACCCCATGGACGAAGCTCACGAGGCCGCCGGGGACATCAGCCTCGGCCTGGTGCGCGTGGTGATGATGATGATGATGCCCCGGGTGGTGGGAGTGCGGGTGGTGCGGGTCGTCGGCGTAGGCCGCCTCGTCGGCGATGGCGTACGGGTCCTCAACGAAGCCGATGGCCACATCGTCCCCGTCGCCTGGGTGCTGGTGCGCGCCGTCCGAGCTGAGCCCTTGGTGCGCCTCACGCTCGGGCAACTGGCCGAAGGCCACCCCGACGGCGGCGAGCTTGGACGCGTGGTCCAACTCGCCGGCCGGCGCGGCGGCAGCAGCCGCAGATCCCGGCCTCGCCCCGAGCCCCGACAGCGTGAGAGTCAGCCCGCCCGGGGTGGGAGTCCCGACGCCCGGATCACCGGGCATCGGGGAGGGAGCACCTCCTGCGGAGCCCGGCGCCGGCGACACGGTGGCCGGCCCGAGAGCCGGGGCGATGGCCGCGGCGGCCGCCGCCGCGGCAGCAGCCGGACCTGGCGACAGGGCCACCGAGTCCACATGCCGCAAGTAGTCATACGCCGTGGAGAGGGAGGAGTCGTCGCGCTCGTCGCCGGGGGCGGTGCTCCGCTGGAGGAAAAGCTGTGTCGCCCGGAGCTGGGCGATGGTCTGCAGGAAGGACCGGGAGTCTGTGGCAGCCGTGGTGGCGGCGCTTCCAGGGCTGGTTGGCCGCGCGGTCTCTGTCATCCCGGCCGACATGATGCGGGTCGGACAAGGGGAGAGCCGAGGGCTGGAGGGGGGAGAGAGAGAGAGGGGGGGGGAGGGATCGGAGCAGTCGTCTACACAGGAAGGGAAGAGGGAGGGAGGGGGGGAGGAAGCAGGCGAAGCAAGCAGGCGAGTGGGAGGGACCCCAAGGGCAAGGGCAGAGCAACCCCGGAACAGACGAGATCTGGCTTGGTGGGTTGTTCAATGATCTCTCTCTCTCTCTTCCTCTCTCTCTTTCTCTTTCCCGATTTCCCGATGTGCGCTGGCGTCACACGGCTCGGGTGCCTTCGCTCGCGAGCTGCCCGCGGCCCTGTTCCGGTTGGGATGGAGTTTGGGGCGGGAGGTGTGATATGGCACCCCACCAGGGGCGGACGGCGAGAGGGCCTCCGGTCGAGAGATGTGCGCGCGCGCGCGCGCGCGCCGGGTCGCCGGTCCTTCTCCTCCTCGCCGGAGCGAGGAACGCCGCGGCGGGCCCGAGCCCCGGTGGGCCTGCCTCCTGGCCAAATACAGCATCCACCCCACAACACGAGCGCAACCGATGCCACCGCCGCTGCGGTGGGGGGGGGGGGGGGGGGGGGGGGGGGGGGGGGGGGGGGGGGGGGGGGGGGGGACAGAGGGGGCAGTGACTAGATCTGTCTTGCCGCCCGGCGCGAACGGCCCGGGTGTCTTTTGGCCCGGATGGATGCCCCCGCCCCCAGCGCGGCGGTCCCTTGGAGAACCGGCCCACGCCCCGTCAGGTGGCAGCTGGCGCAAGGGCAAATTGGTGGTGCTCCCACGTCCTGCGACCCGGGTCCGGGAATCTACCCAGTCCCCGCAGCACCGATGGATCGCTTTTTCTCCCGAGGCCTCCAAGGGGCGGGCGTGTCTCGGGCGAATTGGGTGGGCCGCCGCATCCCCGTGCGCGCCACCTGGGGCTCGCGCGCAGCTGTACGACCCCCGCCCGCCTCCCGCCCGCCTCCCGCCCCTGCTCTGCCTAACCGCGGGTGCCGTGTACACACGCCTGCACATGTGCGTTTGTGATTGTGTGTGTTTTATATTGAGTGTTTCCCAAGAGATCGATGGCGTGAAGGGCACCACATCCGAGGCACAAAGGGAGGCTTTTTGTTCTGCGAGGCCTCCTCCCCCCGGGCTTCCTTTGGTGTGTGCGTGTGTGCGTGTGTGCGTGTGCGATGCATAAGGCGCACACGCCCACCATAGGGAGGCGGTGAGACTGCCGAGGGCGGTCGCCTGACGCCCTGCATGGGAAAAGGACCGGGGCCTTAGAAGTACGAGGGGAAAGTGGACCGGAGCTGGGAGATGACGTCCTCCTTCTCCATCTTGTTCAGGTACGGGGCGGCGTTCAGCATGCCAACGAAGTTCTGTGCATGCCGGGACGAGAGAGAGAGAGAGAGAGGGAGGGAGAGAGGGAGAAACCGAGGCAGTTGTGGATGTGGATGCGCGGGTGTCAGAGGAACATGTCGCCCCTTGGGGATGACGCAGAAAAGGGGCACCACAGGAGCGGTCGAGGCATGCGCGGGCTACAGAGACATGCAAATAAAAACATGTATATGGGCCTGCATGCGTCCCCTCCTCTTTTTCCCTTGGCCGGGAAGAGGAGGGGGGAGCACAGGAGAGGCATGACACGCACCTGGTAGTCCGAAATGAAGGGGAAAGCGCGGATGCACAGAGCACGGCGGGCCTCCAGGTCGGCGGACACAGAGAGCAGACGGTTGAGCAGGCCATCCACCTGGGCCGCCTGGAGGAGGTGCTCCGAGGACACCTGGCCGAGGGACTCGCGCGGCGGAGGGGAGGCCAGGAACTGGTGGAAGAGCGACACAAGGGCCTGGTTGAGGCCGGGGGAGCCCGGGGGGTGGCTGGAGATGATGCCCTCCGCGTGGCCGGACAGCTGGGTGAAGAGCTGCAACGGGGGGGGGGGGGTGACAGGGAGCGCGGGTGCATGGTCCAGGGGGCGGAGGCAGGCGGGGGACAACAAAGGGGGGGGGGAGGCTGGTAAGACATGGGAAAATGCCGGGTAGGAGAGGGCAAAGGGATGACCAGCCGCCAAAAGGGGAGGGGGGGGGGCACGTACCGGGCCGGAAATGGGCGCCGGGGCCGCGGCAGCATGGGCAGGCGGGCTGGCGGGCGGGTAGCCAGGGGACGAGTTACCAGGGTACGGCGGCGGGGACACAAACTCGCCGCCCTGCGGGGGGTAGCCGGGCTGCGGGGGATAGGCACCCTGCGGCGGGTAGCCAGGCTGCGGGGGGTAAGCACCCTGCGGCGGGTACGGGCCCTGGGGCGGGTAAGCGCCAGCCTGCGGGGGGTAGCCCGGCTGCGGGGGATAGACAACGCCCGGGGGCGGGGGATGCATGGTGGTAGTCTGGGTGATGACGGGGCCCTCGGGGTTGTTGAGAGAGGCCTCCAGGCGGTGGATCTCCCGGTTGATGGCACGGTAGCGAGAAACAGAGACCTAAGCAGGGGAGGGGCGGAGGAGGGGAGGGTCAGTGGCGGAGGGGGGAGGGGACGGCGATGTGCATATCCCCCCGCCGGTCGGGGGGTGGAGGGGAGGGGGGGGGGGGCCTTTCGGCGACGCACAAGGACGTTGATCAGGCAGACAACCCACATGAAGATGAAGAAGAACCAGATGAAGCCGCTGAAGATGATGATGAAGGCCACGAAGATGCCAACAAAGATCAACAGCATGATGATGGACACGATGATGGAGGAAAGGAGGCGCGCACGGCGGGCATGCAGCCACGCCAGGTGGACGCGCGGGTCCACCACGACGTGGCTGGGGGCGGTGATCACCCAGATCCTCATAGCGGTGCTGCTGCTGCTGCTGTGGCACACACGCGGGTGAGGGGCGGCAAGGGGAAGGGGAGAGAGAGAGAGACGGGGGGGGGGGCGGTCGGGGGCAAAGGCGGCGTCAAGATAGACGGTGGTGTGGTGGGTGTGGCCAGGCCGGGCGGGCCCCCGGCGCCTGGCGCGGCGCCGCCACAAGAAGTACGACGATTTGCCGGCCGGTGGGGGTCTTTGGAGGAGACGGCGCCCCGGGTCGCCCGAACATTGCGGAGCGCGGCCCGGATGCTGCCCCCCCCCCCC